AGCAGAAACTGAAGAAACTGCTGCAACTGCAACTGCAACACCACACAACGGCAAACTGGCGATAAGCAGCTCGGGAAAACTGAGAAACCGCGTTGGCAATTGAGTTGTTCGCCAGCTGGGCCATCTGGCAGTGACTTTGGCTCAAAGGAGCAACTGCTGATGATGTTGCAGCTCCTTGCTGCTCCTCTAAGCATGTGCTGGCCGTAATGGCGATGCATTTATTAAAGGCTTTTGTGCGTGCGGGCTGCTTGCCCCCTTTCCCTCGATCCCCCCATCCCATCATCCTCGTGTCCCCTTTAAAACTTCCCGCTGCTCAGTTCGCTCACTTGCTTAATCCATAAATGGAAATTAATGGCTGGCATAAGTGTGTGTGTAGATCCGCTGAGCCTCTCAACTTGGCTAATGGCGCTGGCTAACGGTACTGCCTGAGTGCCACCGCATTTGCATTCGGGCCTGCAAAAATATTAAGACATAAATGTCATCAACAATGATACCGAACCAGAGGGTGAAGACTACGTGGGAGGACCAGCACAGTGGAGTCCATTGCGAGGAATTTTTATTTGCTAACTACATTTTAAAACTATAACAATTTTATGTAGATTTTTTGTTGATGAAACTAGTTAAGTTTATTCCTAAAAAGTTGCGAATGTTTTAAAAACTGGTCTTTTACCTCTAGTCTTAAACTAAGTAAGGGGTAACAAAATTCTTAAAATACCCTAATTTAAAAGTTATAATTTTATTGTAGCTATATAATAAACCCAATATGTATTTTATCACATAAACATGTTTTTACATGGAAAGTACAATAAAGTTAAATAGTATGATTTGTTAATGGCTTTTTCCGCTTTATAAAAATAATAAGAAAATATAATAAGAATTATGTTTTGCTAAATTGCTATGTATGTTGCTATGTATATTGGTTTCAGAATTTGAGAAAATCAGTAAATGCCAAGACATGAGTGGGGAAAAATGAATAATCAAATCAAAAAGTGGTAAACAGATAAACGCCCACCGGGCACAAGGAACCAAAAAGGAATCCCTTTTCTTGGGTCATTTAGATGGCCGGTCCGCAGAGCGTATAAAAAATGATACCACAATTTATGGGCGACATCTAATGGCGTACAGATGCAACATAGTTGGCGGATTTGCAGCATCTGCTGCATGCAATGCAATTCATTGCAACTGCAACAGGAACAACAACAGCAACAACAACAGCATCGGCAGTGAGTCTCATAAAACATAATCAAGTTCACATTCAGAGAGTCTCAGACGACCGAGTGAAACCGGGCGACAATGGCGGGCCACATCCTGCCTAGACGACTCCGATTCTACGCCCTCTCCTTGGGACTTTGCATCTCCTGCTCCTGCATCTCTATGCAAGATTAATTTCCAGCCATATTGTCATATTCTGGCCGTTGCAGCTGCCACTGCCGGCAGGGCATATAAGTTTTATAAGCGTTTTGACTCCATTAACTCTCTGCGGCAAGCTAATTTCCATAACTTGGGTAAGCCAATTTATCAAATGACTAAGTGCAGCGAGGTGTGTATTAATTGTCAGCCATTTGGCATTTGGCAATCGATGAAGAAGGGCGGCTTCGTGGGCGTGGGCGTGGGCGTGGCAGTTGGTGCGTGGGAAGTGTAGAGTGCTCCATTTGAGAATGCGATCTTAATGGCCCGTCTAATTGAAAACTCTCTCTCTACGGTTCATTAATTGATGCTTCAGCGTTGAATGGAGGTTAAGAGAATTGCTCATAAAAGCCATTGGCCCCGAACCGGTTCGCTTTGCTAGCTAAATTGATTTGAGGGCAATTTATGTAAATTTCCGTCTTGTTGTGTTGCCTTGTAACATTTCCATAAGTATTTCGTTTGTTTGCTCGAAAAACACTTTTCTTTAGGCCTCTTTCGGCCAAGTTCGTTGCCTAAGTCTTTTGTTTGGCCAGCGAGGAGACCACACACACGCATCGCAGGCATTGATTTCACTTACTTTCCGAGGGCCCCCAAAATGAAACAAGCCCGTTAACAATTTGCACAAAACATTTGCAGGGGGAGGGGGGGCCTGTTCGCATTCAATAAATAAAATGTCAAAACAATAATGAAATGAATTATGACCGCGCATCAGGCCGATCCTCGAGAAGCTGCATCTTGAGTCAGGGCGGCGGCGGCGGCGTGGGTCTCCATTTGCAGTTGGGCCCTGGATTCGCAGTTTGCAGTTTGCAGTCCACAGTCCGCAATCCTGGCAATTTCTGGCCGCTCTTTTATTTATTGATTTCGTGCGTATGCACAATCAGAGGCTCGTTTGGCCCGGCCCTGCGGCATTCTGCACTCCGAGCTCGTAATGAAACGGAGTGGATTATCCACGGCCTGCTAACGCCAGCGGAACGCAATCAAAACTTTCGCTGCCAATGCCAAAGTCTGAGCCAAAAAGCCAACAACCGACACAACAACAAAAAAAAAAAATGCAATTATTTCGATAAAAATGACCGTTTACTGTCGTTTTGTGGATATTGGGAGCCAATTTATGTGCCCTCCGCTCAGGTGGGAGGGAAGTTCAGGGCAGGCAAACATGAAGCATAATTTTATCGAATATGTACGATTCGTCTGGGTCTTTCATTTCTTTTTGCCATTTAAACTGGGTCAAGGAAGCGAAGAAATTCACGAATTGCGCATTATGGGGCAAATGTTTGGATGGTTTGTAACAAAATTAAAAAAAAAATCATATCAAAAAGATGGTATTGGTTGTTGTTTTTCATTATCCAAATAAATAGCAACATGATATTTTTCTTACGATATAATATTTAATATATACCATGAAAAGTAATGACAAAAAATCGAATTTCTTTAAAACACAATTGATTAAGAAGGTTGTTTGAAAATAAGAACAGATTCGTTTGCCTCTCATAATTCCTATATTTATAGTTTACTTAAAGTATTTTTAAACTTACTTACCATTTAAGCAGAGACTAGTTTTTAATGTCCACTTAATAGCTAATTTATTGATAAAATCGAATGGAATCTGAGTATTTGAATTTAAATTTGTAATTTTATTATGGCTTTTTGTTCAAGATTCCCGTTTTAGACTGGATTTCAGAGTAATAAAGACCATCGTTGTAATGCTTTCGTAATAAGAAATCGACCAACTGTCTTATTGGCTTGGCACGCAGCTTTATTGTTTAGCATTCGGAGTGAAACAGCTTTGGATCATCGGGCATTTCCTTTTTATTGATAGTTATCGCATAATCAATGGAACGCTTGGTACAATAATCAAACCCAAATTGATATTCCCAAAAGTTAACGACGGACAATAAAACACCCAGGTTCATAACTATGGCCATAAAAAGTTGATTTGATTTTTGTGTCAATTTAAAACCATCTCCGAGACAACAGAGTCGATAGTTATCGCTGACTCGTGTTTCGGACATCCATTTAACCGATTATTATGTGGATTTTGTGGATGATTTATGCGTTCCGCTTTTTATGGTGCACTTAAGTGTCGGCCACTTAGCCATTTTCGGCGTTTTTGTGGGCGAGGGGCGTTACCGCAGCGACAAATAAGGCATAGCATTTCAAACGCCCAAGAGCAGAGGGTTCTTTCATTCCATTTTGTTTTTTTTGGAAAAATGCTCATAATTTCGATATTTTTTGCATATGGCCGAGACTCATTTGTTGCTCCGGCAAATTCGCCATTAAAACTGCCACAGCTACGAATCAGCCGAAAAAAAATATATATCGCCTCTGACCACGCATGCATATATTAACGATGGCGTTGTATGTATGGTATAGTGGTATAGTATCGATACAGTTTTACTGGTTTCTGTGGCCCTAGGGGCCCAACATCGAGTTCTGCGTTCTGATCGTGTAAGCCTTATTTGGATCAAGATAAAAATTATGTATGATCCGAAATCAGTTTGACAACAAAATGCTTTATGTGCGCAATTCTTAACGCTGCAATTTAACAAAACGGCACATTAAGCCAGAGGGGCAGGCGCAGAATTGGGAATTGGGAAGGTAACCCACTTTTCTCCGCCGACCGGGAACGTCCGCGGCATGCTAATAAGGGCGGCGCATACTTTTCACCCGGACGAAAGTACACAAAGTTGAACCCGCCAATGCCTCGCCCCCACGCCCGAAATCGTTCATCACAAACGCTGGGAAAGATCGGCAGCCAGAGCATCTCCAGCATCTTCACATCACTGCGTTGTCTTCTCAATATCGATGCACTCGGAAAATATATGTCTTGTGACTCGATCTCTCATATATATAATAAATATAAAATATATACCTCAATTAAGCAGAGAAAGTATATAATATGAATCATATGAGTGATTAATTAAAGTTTTTTAACCTTTATTTGTATTAGAAATATTTTTAATATTAGAAATATTTATAAATATTTCTGATATATTATTTTTATATAAATTTAAAAATTAAGTTCTTTGAATAATACTCTAAATAATTTTGGAGTGCTTTTGCATTGAAGCATCGATTACTTGAAATAGAACAACAACTTAGCTTAGCTTAAGAATTTGGAACAAATTGTCACCAGATTGAGTTATGTAAAGTAAAGGTTAAAACTTAAAATAAATATTGCATGAGTTTCCCTATTTTTCTAATATTTAATTAAAGTCACTTCAAGCTAAGCTTAAAATGAACTTGATTACCATGATAAAAAAGTAAGCTATGTTGGAAACCTACTTAACTACCATAACTTATTGGTTTTGTTTTGAATTAATTATCTTTTTGTAGATTATTTGTGTGATTATTTTCTATTTACCTTTTTATATCAACCTGATCTAGTTATAACAAATTGGCTGTCAACAAATACATATTTCACATGGCGTTAGCCAACCTAAGTGGAATAGTTATTCAGTCAAGGTGAGCAGCGTGTGTAAAAACTACTTTCTCTTTGGATAAATAAACACTTTTTATTTTTTCTCTCAGTGAAAGACCTTGTCCTGACTTTGGCTACGGCCTCCGCCTGTCCATATCTGCAACGTCGATCAATGCAAATTTCTGAGCTGATCAAACTGGCCAAGAGCAGCATAGCAGCAGCAGCAGCCTACGCATCGGCAGCGGCTCAAGAATTATTATTAAATTCGATATAAATAATATTCGCAACCGCTGTGTGCCCCCCTCCCCGCGCACTCCCCTCCGCTGGACAGTCTGCTGATTAATAAAAGACGGCTGCCGTGGCAGAAGTTCCGAGATGGCCCGCGGTGCTTAAAAATTCTGAGGCATCTGTCAAGCCGAGCGAAGGTGAAGGTTTCGCAGAGGCAAAGGCACAGTCGCAGCAGGACTTGGTCTGGAGATCTCGGGGATCTGGGGGATCTGGGCAACTGGGCATCCATGGCTCTGGGGATCGCGAACCCAGCACAAACGTTTCGGGGGAACGCTTTGCATACGTGCGTGTATGTGACAGTCGCATAATAACGCTTCAATTAAGCCCAAGCGATTCCCTGACACGATTTTCCTTTGTGCCCTGGCCAAAAACTCCACTGCCAGATGCATATCAATAAGATCTGACGTCAATTTTGATAAGCGAACGCATATTATTATTGTTATTATTAGCCATATATACGCCCCCCGATCCCCTCACTCCCTCTCTTAATAATCAGTGGTGGAGTGGAGAAGGGGATGGGGAATGGGGGATGGGGGTCTGAAAATCCCTTGGAGCATTTTGTCGGGTAGCTGACCGAACGGAGCGACGGATATCTGGCCGCAATCGACATATGCCAGCGAAAGATGAAATTCCTGGGAGCAACCACACACTGCCGAACTTGCGGCACAGCAACTCACGGGCAGGAATAAAATAAGAATTATGCTTAAATTATGCAAGGCCCAACAATTTACAAAGTGATCGACCCCCAACCCTTCGATGCCCCCGAATCCTCTTTACATGGTGAATGGCAGCGGAGCAGGAAGACCAGGGCTGCGAAACCTGGGAATATCAAAGGGAAGGATGGGATTCACTCGTATCTTGATTATAATCATGATCATTTTATTTTTAATGATCGTTTTGTAGGATTTGAAAGCACATCATTCGATTATTAATCCCAGCTTATTGATGACGGTAGTTTGTTATTAGTTTTTGAACATGCCATAAGATGTCGTAATATTCTTAAACAAATATTTATAAATATAATCATCTTTTTTTTATTACCTGTTTTGCATATGTTTCAGCATAAGTTACATTAAAAAAATTTAACAATTACAAAACATTATAGAGTGCATAGGCAGATAGCTTTTTATAACCAGTAGCTATTTCAATTACAGATTTTTTCTTATTTATTTCTAAGCCTAAAAAATAATTATAACCATTATTAGTCAAAAAGTGTTTATTAAAAGAATGGTTTTTTATGTATATTTAAAAGTCGTGATTTTTTTTCGTTTAACCAGATATACCATTAAAATAGTTGTGTAATTTTATTGCAGCCCTAAATCTCCGTTTGGGCCCCGCAATTCGCACGGTGTACGATCGATTTGTGGAATAGATAAAACGTTGACGTTTTGATCGATATTTATGATTCCTTCGCATGAAGAGCTACTCGATGGGGAGGGGGAACCCCCAACCATCTATGTCCTGCAGCCCAACTGGATGGCGGACAGAAGCTTTGGCATCGCGGAGGAGTGGCAGCAGCAGGAGTGCAGGGTGATTTAGGATTTCATTTGTTAGTTGGAGGCCAAAACAATTTGTTGCCTGTTGCCAAGTCGCCTCGCTTCCTCTCCCTCTCCCTTCGTTCCAATCCCCCCTCTCGCTTTTTAAGGGCCCCGGATTTTTTTGTGGCGCATCCTGATCCGCTGCACTCTCCGAATACATTTGTAGTAATCACGTGTTATCGCCGCATTTGGACATTTTAAAAGGTCATAACTTAAAACCTTATCGGACGGACGGAGAGGCGAACGGAAAGAAAGAGACACACAGCGAGTTGGAGTTCGAGTTTTGAGTTCGAGTGCGACATGCGACATGCAATGCAATCCCAAAACGGAGAAAAAGAACTCACTCGCCGAGCGACATCCAAAAGTAGCCGAAATTGAGCTGAAGGATAACACGAAATGCCAGCGGAGACAGCGGCGTTCCAGCACGCAAGCTGCGGACCAGGCCAGCGGGCAGAGGATCGGGCCAAGCCAAGTGGTGGCCCAGGGGATGGGGCCACCATTACATTCCATTGAGCGCACTCCGATAATGAGCCCCCAACACACACTCGAAAAATGGAGAGTAACTAAGATATCTAAAAAGCTTTTAAATCGTTAGCAAACTAACTAAATTGGAACCTTAAATTGTTGAATAATAGTAGAATAAGTAAAAACTTCGTGTAATTTCAGCTGGTGTTTACAAAATATATATTGGAGATTGTACTTCAAAAAATGTTTAACTTATCTCTTACTCTATATCCCACAATATAATGGTTATTATTTTGTTTTGATATATATACATAACACAATAGAGAGAGAAATAAATAGAAATTAGGGCTCTATTTAATGTTGATGTAGTTCCAATAAACAAAAACGTTGGAGTTCCAAAAGCAAAACCATAAATAAATAAAAAATCTGTTTATCAACAAATAAAGAATTAGCAATTACAATCATAAGCCAGGTTTTTAGGTTTGAAGTGGTTTTGTAATATTAATTATAATAATTTAACATTTGCTTATGTTATTTAGTATTTTACTAATAAATAGTTAAAACATACCTACAACATGTCAATATAAAATGAAATTAACTTGCCAGCGTCTATTTTATTTCACATATTTATTTTATTTATTTATTATAAATGATAGAATAGCTTACAAAACTAAAGCTAACATAATAGGACATAGTACTATCCACGGGACTTTCTACTATGCATGTATCGTGATCACTTATACCATTAACATACCATTAATAAAAAAACATCGTAAATTTTTTGAGTGCACTTACGCACACACTGCCACCGTCGCAGGACACACTTTCTGGGGACTTGTGGTGCGCTAAAAGCGAAATGATAAGCTGACAGCTCCGGAGTAAGTAGGCGACCGACCTTAGCCCCTCCTCCTCCTTCTCCTCCTCCTCCGCCTCCGCCTGCTCCCCCCGGAGCCGCTTCCTTTGGCGACGCCGGCATTTTATGATAGCTCCAGGGGGGCAGTCCACAGAACTGAATGGCCAATGAATCTCTGACTCTGGAATTGCGACCGCAGATGACTCACAAACACACGCGTGCGATGGGATTCGCATTAGAGAGTAATTCCCAAAAAGAATCCGATGAGCCCCATCCAAGCCACATTTTATGTTTAATTCCAAATTGATTTTGATTTCTGGAAAATTTGGCTACAAAACATTGTCTATTAAAATTTTAATTTGCATTAAAATAAATGTTTATAGGGTAATATGATTTGACGGATATATAAATATCTTTTTTTATTTTATTATAAGCTATTTTATTTTGTTTAAAATTGTATTCCCAGAAGAATTTGAAAAAATACTTTTTTAAATGAGTTTGTATTTAATGGGACTAATTTTTTTTCGTATTATTGTATATCCGCTGTTTTTTCCTTATACGAATATATATTTTATATTTATATTTTATATATTTCCCTTGATTTGACTGTATCCTGCAGCTGTTATATGTGTCTACTGTCATCACTTTTCGGTATGGTTGCAAAGGAGTTATAACTTCGGCATGCTCAAGGTGGGTTATATTCGCCTTTTTCAATAAATTTGTAGACACTCAAAGTAAAACCCTTAAGATCATCGCATTCCGCATGCTATCCCTCCAGACATCTGCTCCAGTTTGATATGGATCCGTATTCTATGCCATATCCAGACTTTCGCCAGCGGCACAAGTCTTTTCCCTTGGATCGATGAGCCGTGTAAATGGGATTCTCCATTTCAGAGCGATAAGTCGGGAATGCCTTCTGGCTCCGATATCAAAGTAATTACGTTCCCAACAACGGAGCTGCGCCTGGGGTAGAAAAAGAAATGCTTGGTTGTTCATTGTTACCAATTTTTATGGAGAAATGAGATACCCAAAAGGTACGTTCCGATTATCATCTAGTTTTCCCCCAACTGCCGCACTTCTTGTGTGTTGACATTCCCCGCTTTTCCCTTTTCTTGTGACAATTTCTACGAAAACTCAATACAAACACAAACATATCGTCCCTAGATGATGCCTAAACACTCCCATTCAATGACAAACGTTAAATTTACGACAATGCCCATTCGAGCAGGTAAAGAACTCAGGTGAATGGGCCGGTGGAGGGGGAGGGGAGGGGAGGGGTGCCTAAATTTTTGGGAGTAGGGGGCGGGGCAGATGGCTATCGGACCGCAGTCGAAGTCGGCACAGATGACTCATCAAATTAGCGTCCAGGGCGCGGGCGATAAGCGTCCATGCGAAGGATTAGGATGAGAGAGGACGAGAGGATGAGCGGATGAAAGGAGAGTTTGATTGTTGGAAAGTGTTCCCGAAATGTGCTCATATCATTTTACAAACATTTCAAACCACTCGAGACTGTTATAGTATTGTAGTCGCCACTTGCTGGGAAATTCCTGGGCCTCGAAGACCACCCTCGCTGGAAGGGAATCATGTCATGAGCGGTTATTAATTGCCGGAGATTTGTGCTTAGTTAATTGGGTTCGGTTGTCTCTTGTAATTGGTTTGTCCTAATAATTTCAATATTACAACGATATTTAACATTGCCTTTGTTATGAAGAGTTTCGATTCGGTAGACTTAAAACTAATTAAAATATCTATTAGTAAAACATGAGAAAGGATGGTGGCTAAACCTTACTCTAGAAGCTCGCTTATTATTTAAATTAGAATGTGGATAATAGAAAATTAAATAATCTAAACTAATAACTAAAATGTGTTCAAAATTAAATCAATATTTAAAATAATTGTGTTGATAAATATATCAATATTTTTCGTCTAACGTTCATGTGAAATTCTAGATATTTAATTAGGATTGATTTCTGAATACTTATTGACCTCAGGAAAATTTTTCTCTGACATTTTCATAAAGAAATCTAAATTTTGTAAGATTATTGATTAAAGTAAGTACTTTTAAGAGATTGTTTGCATAAATAGATTTATCCTGACAGTGAATTACACAATTTTACGATAAAATTAAAATCGTATTCACTATTTACACAACTTTACGATAAGATTAAAATCTTATTCACTATTTTCGTGGCTACTACTACTAGTAGAGATCCCAGCATTATTTAAGTACAACTTTTACCTCTTTCTCCGCCCCGAATTCCCTGTGTTTACAGTTATGGCTCGCAATTATCCGTTCAATTTGCACAGGAAGCTTTTGTCGCGCCGTCTTGGTCGCGATAATCCGACAGCAAAATATGCGAACGTTAATTACGCTTTTGGCGAACCTCTTACGCACTCCGATGCTGCGATGCTCCGATGCAGATGCAGATGCTCCTGCTCCTGGTCCAGCTCCTGCCCCCTCCCCTTGCCTCTTGCCACTTGCCACTTGCTGCAGCACTTGGTAGCAACGGCTGACAACGATGCCTGACGGCAGATAATGCTGATCGCATGAATGATGGAAGGAATCGAGCGGGAATACGAGTTCTGTGATCGATTAGGGAGCCAATCCAGAATGCAGAACCCCAAGCCGGGTTGATTGAAAGCTTGCAAATTGTTTGAAGCATCTGGGATCTGTGCGGAGTCGATCCAAATGGATGCACTTACGGGCAGTGTCATTGGCCCGGCTCACACTCAGCCACCCAGGTGGATGTGGATAGTTCGGATCGCAGTTGCCCCCACACTGCGCATCCGTCCATTTGTCTTGACCCCAAAGTGCTGCATGCGGCGTTACTTTCGTTTCTGATTAATTTGAGCTAATTTGTTAAGTAATAACTGGGGGGGACTCGCACCAAACGAAGTTGTAAAAATAATATAAAAACAGTTTGAAACAAATCCCCGTGATCTTCATTGGGTCCCCAGCGATTTATTAACACTTAACCGCGCTCCGTTTCGATCAGATTGGACGCCCTTTTGCGTAGGAGCTCGGTCCAAAGTAGGGCGCCAAATTGTGCACGTCCCGGTCTGCGGGTAACTCCCCGTTCCCCCAGTCCAAGATCTCCCAATCCCCAGTCACCAATCCCCCCATCCTCAATCCCCAAACCCCGATTCCATCTGTATACCCACTTTGGAGTGCAGTGCAGTTAAGCGGGTTTAGTATTTCGATTATTGACTGCAACGAGCAGCGGGTGGTGGATCATGTTGGTCGTCTTTAGGTGGAAATAAAGATGGAAATGGACTGGGTCCCAAAGTCCCTGCTTAATTGACAGCGCACCCAAGCAGGTCAGTGCGAACAGAGATGTGAGAGCCAATTGATGGGCCCAACAGGAGAAATCTTTCTTTTGTGGATAATCCCCCCTCCCCTTCTTCACATGGTACATGGAATGGTTGGTTGTTCTTCTGCAATCGTGTTTTATGAAGATTAGGTTTTTTAAACCTACCTAACCTCTTTAACTTTTCCCCTTAAGATTTATGTGCGACTCTAAAATATATTTTCTGTGTACATTATTTGAGACTTTGCTAACCTTTTCAAATAGTTGTAAAGTATTTACGAACTTTTTGGTGGTGCAAAGATAAATTCCTTAATTGGAAAGACTATACACGAAATGCTCATGGTTTTTTGGAGGTATTAAAAACTTTTACTTATTTGTTATACATTTATTACTTACCCAACCAATTGAAGTCAGGCAATTTAAATGAAAACCTAACCAAGATCATGACCGATATCTAACGCCATATAACTTTTTGGTAGTGTAAAAATTAATTTCTTAATTGGAAAGACTACATACGAAATGCTTATTGTTTTTTGGAGGTATTAAAAACATTTCCCATTTGTTATACAATTATTACCAATTGAAAGTCAGGCAATTTAAATGAAAACCTAACCAAGATCATGACCGATATCTAGCGCCATATTAGTGTCAATTAATTTATGAGGAAAACAAGATAAGTGGATGGGAAAAGGGTGCCTTTCCGCGGACCTGGTAGCACTTCTGCCCAATGTGCCATGTCCGATTCCTAATTCACATGTCACGTTCATGTTCACGTACCACAGCCACAGTCCGTTGGAGTTGCAATTTTTTCGGTTGCGGTTGCCGCGACTGAAGATTTGCGATAAACGGCGAGAACATGGTTACAAGACTCCACAAACTCCGGCCAGAGTTGGACTCCAAGTTGGAGTTCGAGTTGAAGATGGAGTTGCAGATGGTAAACAAAGACGAGTAGCGCTGACTGATCGGCCGACACTCGGACCGACGGAGCGGTTTACACTCATAAAATTAAATCAACAACAATTTTATAATTTGGCGCATTAAATCAACTGTGGGCCGAGCCCAATAACCATCTCCATCTCCATCTAGGCAGCCAGCCAAAGTCGAGAGCTGGGAACCAAAACGACCAGGCCACGTAGCACATAATCGGGCGCGTGCAATCTTAATGGATAAATTATTGGGAGACGAGCCGAGGTTCGTACTCGGTCTTCCTGGACTTCCAGTTGCCGTCTCGGTTTCTTTTTCCTTTCTCCTAACAACAATTGGCGGTGTGTGCCCTCGTTATGTCATAACCGCACTTTAACTTAACGGGCTGCGTAATATAATAATCATTTATTAATTTGCCAAGTAGCAGGTGCCAAGCGAAGTCGAGATGGTTTGAGTACGTGCCACAAATCAGGGGGAAAATATAGCTCCGGTATGCAAAACTAGTCGTAGCATGAGGCTACCGGCTATAATGTCTCGATGTTTAACTTTTTTGCTCATTTTGTTAAGATATTTTTAAACCAATACAAACTCCAAGTAAAATGTGGGCTAAACCTTTCCTAAGGCTCACTTTAAAATAACTATTTAATAAGTAGTTTAGCAAATAAAAAGTCAGGACTATAGCTTTTATTGACCATCATGATTTAATTAATACTATAGCACTTTGAGCTCCATTAGCAGCATAAGTGCTTATAATTATAAATAAAAAATTAATTATAGAAGGGAAATAAGAAATCAAATAGGTAGTTGAGTTAATGGAGGGATAAGACTACGCCACTTACTGACTTTCAATGCTATATTTCAATTAAAGAAAATTGATGGTTCCTAGAGGAGCCCTCCTTCCCTCGCGACACGCAACATTTATATGGCCCTGCCAATCTGTCCACCCCCATCCTCGAGTGCATTCCACATGGAGCGATGCAGCTGCTCCATGCTCCTGTCAATTGGCTTCTGGCTGAAAAGGAGTCGCGCCCAGCAATTAACACCCGCGAATCTGTGCGGCTTCCAGCACGCCCTCGACTTTTATTTGCCCAAATGGATAACCTCTAATTTGGCGAGGCTTTTTATTGCCGTGGCCCCATCCCAATCCCCAAGACCACCACACCCCCCGCAAATCCCCCCATCTGGGGATCCCATCGCATGTTCCACTTAATGACACAGAGAACTCAGCGTTTCGGTTTCGTTTGTTGGTTTGCTCTGTGATTTCGTTTGCCGGCGTCGGCTTTTTGCTGATCTCGTCCGGTTATTGGGCCATTTAACGCCTTTAATGCTGGGCAGTCCGAAAATTGCCATTTCCATTTCATCCAAATGAGGTGTTTCAAATGATTCGTTTGCATTGCCCGCGTCTTCAATTAGCCGCACGCAATCGCAGAGTCACAGGTGTCAGATGTTCGCCCCTTTAAATGTGAACAAAAAAATCACTTTCATCTCAGGAGTAGTCATAACTCACGGATTTATGATTAAAGAGTGAAAGTTGTTTAGTTTGAAATTGACCTTTCGGCACTCCCATAAAAATAATTGGTATCCATAAAGTTTTCATGATTTGATATACTAACGGAAGATTGTATTAGATCGTAAATTGTAATCTCTTTTGCAATTATTTATGAGTTTATATCGTATTTTATGAAAAACAGAAAGTATACCAAACATTGTGTTTAGAAAGGTAATGCTATAAATATTTATATAGTAATAACATTTAACAGATTATCTTTATATCCGATGAAGAGTTATCTTAGATAGTTAATATTTCAATTATTAATTAATTGTTATTTATTTGCAGACCTAGTTCCCATTGCTAGATATCCCTGACTATTACTGGGTATCATTTGCAATGACCATTGAACAGATTAAGGCGCCGCCATCCTCCACTTCCTGATACCACCACCCCCAAAAAGCCGGCTTTGGAGCTTAATTAATTACCTCAACTTATTTGACAGCCTTGAGCTGAGGCAACTATAAATAATAAAAGATTTTTAATAAATCATTTGGCGCACTGCAAGCGAGGACATGGACATGGTCTTCGACATGGACAATCGAGTGGACTCCAAGCCCTTTCCACTGCCCCCCCTGTCCCCCTATCCCCAGAACTAGTGCTTTGCATGCGTTTGATAAGCGGACATGGGCTGCGAGGAAAATAGCTTAATACGCGCCACCAGATGGCTTCGAGTCCAGCAGAATATATGGGGACATCGAGGCAACAGGAGGCAGACGCCGGAGCTGCTGGCTTGGTATTTATAGTCGAAAAAATGGCCCAAAGGCCGAAATACTCGTACGCAAAAATAAATATCGAACGATGCCCCGTGCCCTTCTCCGCCGGTCACCTTTCTCACTCGACCAATCGAAACTTCATCTACGTCGAAGCACGCACTATCCATACACTGAGGATAAAAGTGTACAATTGAAAAAAATGAAATATTTAAAACAATATGTGAATCTTAAGACAGAATTATTGAAATATTTATGTATTTTAAAAGTTTTTCACCATAATATCTATGTTAATTATGCCACTATTGTTTTGAACTGGTGATTTTGGGAACATTATAAAACACCTGATGGAAAGGTTTTTTTTGTACATTTTTAAACAAACGTTACATTTGAATAATTTATTAAAGCTTATGTGCCATATAATAAGAAAATTTCTTGATAATTAAGTTATAATTATATTTGTATATACATTAAAAATTTTTAATTATTAACAAGACCCCAAAGTGTGATTGTTTTATGGAGTAGTTTTTCCCCTAGTTTTTTAACCCTTACCTATTATTTTTCTCAGTGCAAAGCTCATATAGGCCCTAGACGCAGCTCGTAATTACGAACCTGAAACGCGGCGATATTGGAAAATTCGCTTAACAAGCCAATAGACTGAGTTATGACTGAGCTGCCCGTCTCCGTCTCCGTCTCCGGCTCCTTGGACTTCTTCCTGGCCGTGGACCAAGAGGAGTCTTCCCCTGGATTTCCCCCGGCTTTCCACGGCCTGCCAGATGGGGCAGCTGTGGCAACCTCCAACGGCAGCAATTTGTTCTTGTTGTCGACTTTGCATGTCGCTGCCTGGTTGGCTGTCTGTCAGTTTGCTTGTTTTGCATGCTATCCCCAGTAAGTTCCTCACTCATCTCCCTCCCCCCCCGCTCTCCTTCGCTCCCGGAAACCCACTCCGGCGGCGGCTTTGGCCTTCCTCAGCCGACCAAAGTCGAGCCCCATGTTCGGTCCCATGTAAGCCTGCTGACAAAAACAATGTCAAGAGCCCAGACGCCGCCCTCTCGCCACTTCCGCTTGGCTTTCCTGCATTTCTCGGCCCGGTCAAGTTCGCATTCGCATTCGCACTGCTGGCTAACCAGATAGATTATCTCGCAAATGCCGCATTTGCTGTTCCATCGAGTAATTACACATTTCCCTAATTGAGCTGAAATTACCGCGGGAACGAAGAGTCTGCCATAAGTTGACTGTTTCGAGTGGTTCAAGGGCTTCAAGGAAGAGCAGTTTCTGCTGGCCAATGAAAATTGAAACAGTTTTGCAAATATAGGGGTGGCTAGCATATATACATACATCAATTTACACATTTAAAAATGGAAATTTTATTGTGATAATTACTATAAAGACAATGGATAATTTAATAAGATTTATGAAGAGGACTACAGCAATTATTAATCTTCTGGACTTGCACAAATTTTGATACAACTGAAAATAAGGCAATACATTCAGTATAATTTATTTAACCATTTTAAACTTAATAAATTAATAAATGCAACATAAATATTTTAAGAACATTAATTTAATGTTAAGAGGAATTCCAAATCTCTTCTGAAAAATATGATAAAAAATATTCATTATTAATCACTAAGGAAAACTAACACCATTCTTCGAAATGCTTCGCATAAACCTTAAGTAATAGTCCCCAATTTAGCCTGCATAAATACGGTCTAAAGCGGCCTTCGCAGATTGCCTACAAAGATTTGAGAAATGCCTAAAAAATATCATTGAATATTTTCACAATTAACCCCTGGACAATTCGTGGATTTGGTTAACTATTTGGCATTGTTCGGATCTGCGATAGCCGCCCATTCAGCGAGAGACGGACGAGGGAGTCGCGCCAAGGCGAACATTTGCAAATGTCATAATTACATGAGATTTGATTAAATTTTTGTCGCGCCGGCAAAAAGTGAATGTCATTTGCAAATCAAACAGTTTTTGCTTTTATTTTCGGTTTTTATATTTCGTGCCTGGCATTTTTGGCGACACCGAATCGCATTTACATTCACCTGACGACGACAAAAATCGACACAAATGATTCGGGTTTTGCAGCGGCAACCTGCAACCTGCTGCCACCTGCTCTGCGAATGTGTGTGCAACACGCGGCACATGATTAATGTGCCAAATTGCAAATTGCAGTGCGGCGTTTAACTGTCAATCAAAACAGCTCTAAAGCCCGCATTTGATGTCGATACAAGACCTCGACAAACGTGCGTCAGTTCGCTGGAATCGAACATGTGGTACGGCAAGGATATATCGGATTAGAATCGAAAATAAGAAAAATAAATGGCACTTATTAAATGTTTAAAAAAGTAATGACTTTGAGATCTATTAAACGTAGCGATTACTTTAATACATTATAACCTACTTACTACTTATTGGTAAAGATTAAGACTTAAGACTGTTTTTAGTGAGGTTTAAGCTGATGAATCACAGCTAAGCTCTAAACTTAAAATGCTTAAATAGTCTTAACCTAAAACATATAATGAAATTTAACCATTTCGAAATTTAAGCAAATATGTCATAAGCCAGAATAAGATTATACTTCTCATAATACAAATAAAAGTCAATGTAGCTAATGATTTCTGTTGCTTTTATAAAAATTGAACAATACTTCCTCCCTGAGATTAAAAATTGAAATGTATTTGGATGTGGTATTTTTATACTTTTATACTTTGTTAAAGCCCTTTTAAGACTAAATAAAAGGATACAAAAGATGAACTTGCTCTGTCTAGATTTTTCTTAGGAAATAGGTCATTAAGTGCGGTTTAAACTGAACTGAGCTTTGGTTTGCAACCACTGGAAACTTTCGGCCAGCAGGAGGAAGAGTAACCTCTGAATGAGGTGGGGGCGCGGCTTTTGGCTCCATCTGACATCTCATATTTCCAGATCGTTTGGATAGGCCGCCATCCTGTGGCAGCCACCGCAACAGTGGCATTCGGGGGGCAAGTGGCACACCTTTTGGCGGCTCACCTCGAACAATTGGATTTGCTTGCCTGGCAGCGGCAATCAAACGAAATGAATTTTTGAATTTCATTAACAAAAAGGCAAAGGCGGAAAGATGGCGATGGCGACAAAATGCGACCACACTCGGGATTATCTCTGCGGTTGTCTGGGATCTGAGCGATGGAGCCGAGGATCTCCTGGAGGTGGAAGCGTTTACATCCAATTGCGGTTTGCCCGTTCGCTCGGCGGTTTACTATTCATTCCGTTCGAACGGCTCTGGGCTTTGAGCTCCGGCTGACAGGCCTGCTGACAGTTGTATTTGAATGCCCGACTGTGTCAGCTACTGGAAATTACAATTCACAATTAATTGAGCTACATTATCAATCAGCGTAAGCCGATCAGCGGGGAATGTCCGAGGGATTCCTAGCTGATCCGATCCCCTGAGTGGAAGTCGAAGACCAAACCCAAACCCATAACCAAAATCAAAATCAAAACCCAAACCAAAACCAAAACAATCAAAAGCGCAGCTGTCACACCTCCATCAAGAGCGATTTCAGTGCGAGGGCGGGGGATCATGATGATCAGCTTTCCGCTGGATGGATGTGACTCATCAGCTACGATTCCTGTGGGATTGTCAACCAGATTGCCAGTGCTTCATTAATTTGCTTCAATGATTCTGCATTGATCGACGGCCGGATAAATCGTATTTCAAGTGAGATTTCCAAAGAAGTTCGTCTCGAATCAATTAACTGCCTGGCTTTCCTAGGCCCTGGAAACTTGAAGGGGCAGGGGATTTTGGGGGCTCCAAGGGGAGATGCACTCGGCGGACACACCCCGACATGCTCCAAAAAAGTTCTTTAACCTGTAACCACATTATGGCCGGCGATCGGCGATCACTAGATCGCTTAATAAGCAGCCTAGCTGTCTGCTCTTCGGGACCCCGATCCCCGATCCCCAACTCCGCGCCCCACCCGCGATTCTGCCCCATCCTGTTTTGTTTCGCAGTTCCAGCTCCTTTGTGGCTGCTCCGACATGGTACTGAAAGAAATGTGGTATAATTTCTATATACCGCAAAAGGTTTCAACTCATCAAGCCATCATATTCTCCAAGTCGCAAAAGCATTATTTTCTACAGTAAAGAAAGGTTGAATTTTTAATAGATTATTAAACAATTAAAAATTATGATTTTGACGGACACTTATAGACATTTCTTAGATTTACCTTTAAATCATAAATTTTGATGGTTCTTTTAAAGATAATAATTAAGTCCATCAATTAAATAATGTACATAGGCAAAAGTTTGGTTATTGTTAATAAGGAGATTAATATCGGCTGACATAAAAATAAATATTCAATTACTTAATGTTCTTTATTAATATCTTAATATTGCTTAACATTGATAATCATTTAAGATCAAGAATTAAATAAGAAGCGTTTGAAAAGATTATATATTTTTTTATTTCCTAAACTTTTTTGGAGGAAACAGTATTCAGTATAAAACAGTTTAAATATTTTTTGTATGTTTGTATTTTTTTCTGTGTAGCTGCGGCCCAGGAATCTGCACCGTTTTAAGCATAAATCGCCGCAGGGCATGCGCCCGATATGCGTTCAACTCAATGAACTTGCCACGACTCCTGTCCCTGCCCCAAGCCCCTGCCCCCTGCCCCGCGTCGCCCTGTTCCCACCCGGCTTCTGATGCTCCTGCTCCTGCTGCTCCTGCTCCTGCTCCAGCTGAATCTGCTCCACCTACTTCAACTCCGACATCCCGACTGTTACAGTTTCGCGTTGCGAGCTGCAAGTTGCGAGTTGCCCGCCGACTGGCAAACATATATATTATTTAAATTTTTAAACGATTGATCGTCCTCCGCCCTGAGTGTGTGCCCGCCTCGTCCGCCTCCT